AAAAGAAAAAAAAGAGAAGGTAGTTCCCAGGTTCATAGCAGGTGTTGAATTTAACGTATGAGAAATGGTCTTGCCATCAAATCCCAGCTCAGACTCCAAAATCCCAAAAGGCTGGTCTATCTCCCATATGATCACCGACCGTCAACAACCTCAAGAAATTGAGAAAACTCCAGGCTCCAGCTTTATAATTTAAAATCTCTGCAGGAAGAATCTTCTTCAACCTGATTTGTTTGCCCTTCTCTGTCAATTCTCTGTCAAACTAACCCACTTAAAAAAATTCAGAAACCCCATTTCTTGGACACCTTCAAGATCCCATTTTTCATAAGAAATCTCTATCTTAACCACTTTTTGGTGACATCGTAACTATAATCTCCATTTCTGATATACCCTTTTGGGTATTTGTTTTCTCTTTGTGGTAGGCATCTGGGTCTTGGGTTCTGCTTGCTCGACCTGACTGTTTGCTAGATTAGGGAGATTTGGGTTGGAAGAAGTAGAATTCCATTGGAAATGAGGGTTTGGAGGTGGGTTTTTCTTGGGGTTCTTTTTGCTGCCTTTATTTTGAGGATTGATGCCTTCAAGCTAGGTCGCAGTCGACCCACTGAACGAATTTCAGGTGGGATTTGATTCTATTATGAGTTTCTGTTTTTTCTTTTTTTCACCTTTTCTATTTTCTGTTGATTGTTATGGAGTTCTAGATTTGATGTTTTATTCTGTGTGTATACCAATGTGTATGTAATGTGGTTCAATTAGCTAAATGTAGTTTTGAAACATATGTTCGCTGCTATTGTCCGGTTCATCACTTTGGGATTCCCATCTTAAAGCATCAAATTTGATCAGATTCAAGCACTGGTTCTAAAATCTGTTAATTTTGTTTTTACTTTCATTGACGGCATCAGAGAGTTATTATTAGTTAGTTCATAAGAAATGTCTGTACTTGTCAATTATCGTTTAGAGTTTTAATCCATGAATGATGATGTGAGAGGCAATATTGTTTCGTTTACTGGGTTGCAAATCTTTTCCTGAAGTTACTGTGTGGCTGGCAAGTTGCAGAAGAGTATTATGAGGAGCGTTATATCTTGATGTCAGAGCAGACACATACCAAATTCAGCAAATGTTTTGTACAATTGCTGAAGTTGACTATGTTGTAGATTGCTTCGCCCCTGCATAGGAAGGTTTGTCATTGATGTATGCCCCAGAAGTACAGCTAGCATGGAAACAATCTGAAACATAATGATATTCTGTTATGAAGAGTGAATGTTGCCTATTTTAGGTGGAAGAAAGTTAAGAGATAATTATTAACTATTAAGTTGGTAATATTTAAGTATTCTTCATAATGTATTTAATTAAGGACAATGTGTATAACATGGAAACTTTTATTTTCTGGTCCTACTTTAAACTCTTGAAGTTAAACCTATGAGAGTATGTGTTTATGATGTCTCCTACATGCTAATTACTGGGATGAATACTCTGTTGTAGCATGTGTATCTATTTCTAGTAGAATTGTTACAATACTTTCAATTTTTCACGTATTTTGAGACTTGAAAATTTATTTATTTATTTATTTTTTGATTGGCAGATTTGAAACTTCTTTGTAATTTGATTTTTTTCCACAAATGCAGGTAGTGCTGGTGATGTCTTGGAAGATGATCCAGTGGGAAGGTTGAAAGTCTTTGTTTATGAGCTTCCTAGCAAATACAACAAGAAGATTTTGCAGAAGGACCCAAGATGCCTCACTCATATGTTTGCAGCTGAGATCTTCATGCATAGGTTTCTTTTGTCTAGTCCTGTTCGTACCCTCAACCCTGACGAAGCTGATTGGTTTTACACACCTGTATACACTACTTGTGACCTGACACCAAATGGCTTACCATTGCCATTTAAGTCACCACGAATGATGAGAAGTGCAATTCAGCTCATTTCATCAAACTGGCCTTATTGGAATCGGACAGAAGGTGCTGATCACTTTTTTGTGGTGCCACATGACTTTGGAGCATGCTTCCATTATCAAGTAAAAATTGCTTATTTTCTTTAATTCCATTCTATATGTCTTCTCATGAATCCCATGCTTGTACCTATTTCCAAATTTCTATCATTTCTCTTTTGTGATGTTGTTGAATGATTAGTACGTTCTATGTCCTGAAATATGATTTTTCATCCTGTTCTATTTCAATTGATGCAGGAAGAGAAGGCCATTGAAAGAGGAATTCTCCCCTTGCTCCAACGTGCTACATTAGTTCAGACTTTTGGACAGCGGAATCATGTTTGCTTGAAGGAAGGCTCAATTACAATTCCACCTTATGCTCCACCCCAGAAAATGCATTCACACCTGATTCCTGAGAAAACTCCTCGGTCCATTTTTGTTTACTTCCGAGGATTGTTTTATGACGTGGGAAATGACCCAGAAGGTGGTTATTATGCAAGGTATGTTTCTGTAAACTTTATTAAAAGACTATTTTTCAATTGCCCAAGAATTTCCACCTTTTCCTAGAAGCATTTGTAGGCTCCAAATCAGAACCATTTCATGAGGCAATTGTAAACAAGGAACTCGTTTATAATAAAACTATTGTAATGAAAACATTAACAAGAGATGTTATAACATGTAGAGTGTGCAATAGAATTGATCAATTGAAAGTAATGTGAGCAGTTTCTTTAAACAAGGATAAACACAGTGGTTGTAAGGAAGAAGGATTGACTGAATTTAGTGTTCTTGTTCAATGCTAGTTGAAGGTTCTCAATATTACTAATGAAAAGATAAATTTACCCAACCTGTCTCTAAGTTCAACGCTTGCAACAATCTTGCAGGGGTGCCCGAGCAGCAGTCTGGGAGAACTTCAAGGACAATCCACTCTTTGACATTTCAACTGAGCACCCGACCACATACTACGAGGACATGCAACGAGCCATCTTTTGCTTGTGTCCACTTGGTTGGGCTCCATGGAGTCCAAGGTTGGTTGAAGCAGTGATATTTGGATGCATCCCTGTTATCATTGCAGACGACATTGTTCTACCATTTGCTGATGCAATCCCGTGGGAAGAAATTGGTGTATTCGTTGATGAGAAGGATGTTCCAAACTTGGACACCATACTCACATCAATCCCACCAGAAGTAATATTAAGAAAACAGAGACTGCTCGCAAACCCTTCAATGAAGCAGGCAATGTTATTCCCACAACCTGCCCAACCAGGAGATGCTTTCCATCAAGTTTTGAATGGACTTGCCCGTAAGTTACCCCATGATAAGAGTGTTCACTTGAAGCCAGGTGAGAAGATCTTGAATTGGACTGCAGGCCCTGTTGGTGACCTCAAACCTTGGTAGCAGTTGTTATGTTGTGTAATATCAACATCCTTCAAAATCACTAGCTTGTTTGTTGTATCTCCGAGCATTAATGAGTCTTTTTTGGCCTTCAAACATTAATGAGTTAGTCCTTTTGAGCACAGATTATGTAATGTTAATATATATCTTGATTTCCTTCTAAATGCATTAGATTATACCGTCCTTCCTACAGCCCTAGATTTGTGACTATTTCCTGTATCCTCTCAATCAAATTTTCAGTCTGTTAATTGCATCATTGTTGGATGTGCTGATCCTTTTTGAGATATTGGTTCAAAACTGTCCCACTTTTTGTTGGAATAACATTGAGTTACACAACATGAGATTATAGTACATTCCATATTGTTCTCTGCTCAATGGGAAAAGATGGTTCAACTGTTAGAACCGAGGTTTTTAGATTGGATGTTTCATGTTCGAATTTCTTTTTAACAAACTAATCATAATGTTCCTGATAATGTTAGGACAAAATTGGAATTCTAATCTTCTGCGTGCGGTGAGAAAATGCCAGTATGAAATTTTTTTTTTGTTAGATAAGAAAGGACACAAAAATGTGGGGAGTAATAACGCCACGCCCATACATATTTTCCTAACAGCCAATTGTTCTACGCTTTTTACATGTGTAGGAGTCTTATCCCCTCATCTCTTCTCCTCCTCCTCCTCCTCCTTCCTCTGTTTCTAAACCTAGTACCACAAGGAAAATGACCCTTCAGGCACCCACAAAGTCCTTAGGACTGTCGTCTCTTCTTTCTCCGACCGGTAATCTTGGGTTCCGACCACCGGCCGGTAGTTTTTCTTTGAAGTCGTCTTTCGTGTCTCCGTCACTTCAACTCCTGCTTCCTCCTCATCAGCGGATTTCTGTTTCTGGGTCACCCAGATTTTCCATGCGGGCGACCTCCAAGCAAGCTTATATTTGCAGGGATTGCGGGTACCTTTGCTTTCTTCTTCCTTGTTTCCTATGTTTCCATAGTGCAGAATTTGAAGTGGGGTTGTTGAGGTTTTCTGTTCTTCATTTTGAATTATTGGTTGCAGGTATATTTATAATGACAGGACTCCATTTGAGAAGTTGCCTGATAAGTACTTGTGCCCTGGTATATCACCCTCTTTACTGTAAATTTCTTTGCTATTTCAATTTAAGAAATGATTTTTTCAACCTGGTTTAAAAGTATTGATTAAAAGTATTTCAATACTTTTTGAATAAGATTGATTAATAGTGTTTTGGTATTTTCACTAAAAGTGGAGTTTAGACTGAAAAAACCATTATCATTGAATTTACCTAAGATATAGAGAACTTGGGTGATTCTTGTATCAATAGCTTATTAAGAATAGGTTTTCCATCCATGCATGCATTTTACCACTTGAGTTACAAGTTTAAGTGGCTTGTTTATCAACATCCTTACTTCAGTGCATTATGAAACCAACTTTTGGAGCTCAGTCTCGGGATAAAATTACTAGCTGAGGTCTTAGGAGGTCTCAGAAAAAAATAAAAAATAAAAAATAAATAAAAAGGAAGAAGAAGAAGAGAAAACCCTAATGAAATGAGGTGGAGTGCATAACATAACTTTGGAATTTTGATTCTGGAGTTACTGTCCTCAACTACCCCCAAAGAAAAGGCTAATGCCTTGAAATTGAATTCTTTGCAGTATGTGGTGCTCCTAAGCGCAGATTCAGGCAATATGAGCCTGCTGTGACCAGAAATGCTAATGAAACAGATGTTAGGAAGGCAAGAAAGGCCCAAATTCAGAGAGATGATGCCATTGGGTAAAATAACAAATCTTTCCTATCTCCAAACATAGTAACTTTCTAATTCTATTTTTCCAATCAATACATCAATTCTCATGTCTTCAATGCCAATCTTAATGTGGCGCAGGAAGGCACTCCCCATTGGAATTGTGGTTGGAATTGTAGCTCTTGCTGGTTTATACTTCTACGTCAATAATGGGGTTGTAGGTTAGGTTGAATGAAAGTGAAATTGATTATTGGGTGTTGTAATTTTAGTATCTTTTGTATGTTTCCTTTTGGCATGCAACACTTAATACATAGTTTTTCTTCTTTTTGTTGATGGGTATGATATTATGATTCGAACCTTTTTCTAGGGACGTTCTTATGGTTAAAAACTTGTTAAATGACATATAATTGAACTTTGAAAAACTTATTCCAGCTTATGTAACAAAGTAGAAAATCTATATGAATATGGTCATAGGAGACTGATCATTCCTGCAAGACAAATGAGCCCTCTATCCTCTTATCCATGGTCTGCAAAGGAGGGAAATTTAAAGGAGACAACATGGTGTTGTTACTGGATGCAGGTGCTGGCTTGAACTCGTAAGGGCCTTCCTTCACTCCCCAAACCTGAAACAGATGAAAAAAAGCCCATTTTATGAGACTTCCATTTCATTGTTGATGACATAGAGGATTAAGCAAGACCATGAAAAATGACCTGATTTCCATCATCATCATAACCCCTATCCCAGGTATGTATCTCATTATTCTTCAAAATAGCAAGTTCTGAGGTGCAGTACGTCGCTCCATTCTGTCAAAAAGAAAAATTAGTAAATTACTCATTTCTATTTCTTTCCATTGCAATGTCATTTGGATACCCACTACAACAAACGCTGTCAGCTAATGCAATGCAAAATAAATGTCAATATCCCAGAGACAGCATCGCAATGTCAATGAAACCAGCACGAAATGGAAAATTAGAGAGAGAGAGAATCATATACCCATGAATTTGGGAATCCTCCTGGTGGAGTTGAACCTTCATATAAGCAGCGTTTTCCACGTTCACAGCGTTTGAGGTGTATTGTTGCCAAATGTTCAGCAATGTCCTAACCATACGAGAAAATTAAACATGAAAGTAAGAAATCAACATTGCCCAAACTTAGGTAATGCTCTCAAAGTTGAGACTTGTTTCCAAAATATTGTAATGATAAATCATCGCTCTCTTGCTCTAAGAGTAAGACTAAAGAAAAAAGAAGTTCCAGGACAAAAGAGGAAATAAAAGGAAGCTTTAGGACAATAGCCCACAGAATCATATGATATGATCATGCATTCATGCTGCATGAAGGTGCCCAATAATTTAGCAGTTAGAAAACTTAATGAATTAATTTTAGCAAGTCACCTGCTTCTTTGAATTTTGAAAAGAGGGAGAAGTGAGGAGGGCAAAAGGTAAGCAGAGGAAGGACTGAGGGAATACCATATCTTATGAAATCCTTTCGAGTACTTAATTTTCCAGTTCCTAAATTGGGAGATTTGAAGGAAGAAAATATCTTCTACTAAAATCCTTGAACTTTCATTTTCATCCTTGTAAAACAAATCAGCTATAACGAAAGAACTTAGCAGTCAAAATAGTGTTCTGTTCTCCTCCCATCTCTTGTTAATCACATTCAAATGCTAAAAGGTATGTGAGTCATCAATATACATGCTTAGGTGCATCTGAAAGTGTAGATAAGATATTTCAGGAACAAAGAGCATGATGCTAAGAATAGAAGCATGTTGTTCAGGTCAAACAGGCGTGGTTCTACCAAAATGGAAAAAGAAGAAACTGAACTTTCAGTAGGTTAGAAAATAAAGGGGTATGACTTGAATGTTTAAACTTCAGTGAGGTCATATACTTAAACCTTCACTGGAAACTTCAGATTAGAACAACCTATGATGCAGTTGAAACCCCAAAAATGAGCAAGCCTTATATATTTAATAATTTATAACTGATAATATCCACAAATTGAAACCAAACCTCAAAAAATAGAAGTCCAAATTGCTACCAACAGACTCTTAACATAGGAAGACTTACACCAATAACTTCTTCAGGCAATGGGCGCTGGTCTTTTGGACGATCACAAAAGTTCTTGTACTCCTCTGCATCTCTGATTGCATATGTACTCACCTGAGCCCAAAAAGGAAGGTCAGAGATAAATGCTAACTTCAGTGATATCATGAAGTTAACAAGCAATCCCAAGAATATTAGAGAAAATCCATGGTGCAAAGCAAGAGTAAAAAATTATTTCACAAGCAAAAAAAGACGCTTCAAAAACTCATTATCTTATTACCAAATATATATATATATATATATATATATATATATCTGTGTTTTGACAATGCTTTTACTGAAATGGTTGTCTTACAATGATTGTAACAATAAAAATTGCAAAGTTGAATAACACTCTTGAATATAACGCAGAAATATTATATATATATATATATATCTGTGTTTTGACAATGCTTTTACTGAAATGGTTGTCTTACAATGATTGTAACAATAAAAATTGCAAAGTTGAATAACACTCTTGAATATAACGCAGAAATATCAAGTACCAAAGTTCATAAGTCTATGCAAAGAAATAGATGGTGTACTCTTATAATAAACAATAATCAGACAAGCATACCTCGACATCACATTTTAAATCTTTTGGGCATGGCTTCACCATATAAAATCTCTGCAACCAAATAACTGTCACTATTCCATGGGGTAAAGGAGTTCCAAGGATAAAATTAAGAGATCAAAGGAAACTGTGGAGAATAACAGTAAAAAATACAACTTCCAGATCTTTTGTTGTTCCCATAAAGTGTAACCAATTATAGATTCTTTGATCTGTAATGTCTTTAGAACAAACTCTTTTCAAAGAAGCAATAATCAGAATCAAAGGATTAAAAAACCAAAGACAAGACAAAGACTAAGAACACCATCAAGATTGTATAAACACGCATTTATCGGGAATAAGCCTAGTCAAAGAAGTACCTGACGAAAGGGTTTCTGAGGAGTCCTCCAAAAAGCCTAATGATTAAAAGAAACAAAAAAGAACACAAGTGAAATAGCTGAAATTAACTGAACGTCATATTTTTATTTAGTCTTAAGAAAGAAGCATGAGCAGTTAGTTAAACTAACCTGTTCAAGATATAAAACCTTTGAACCATCCACCATCTCCGCTGCTGGGCATGTAAGCATTCTGCACAGATAAGCTTTCTTAACATATCAAAACTATTGCCCAACAATCTGTTGCTCAATATAACATCACTAACACAACCCTACAGGCAACAACAGTAATTTTCTCAACGATTCCTCAGCAAAAGACTGTATAGGTTCGTCTACAAGTAATTGGGAATTCAAGATACTGTTCTAGGTGGAAAGAAAACTAGTGTTATAAAATTACAGCTCAATTCTTCTGAAAAGTAGTACCCCTGACGTAATATCAGAGCCAAGAATGATTTCTAGAAATATTGTTTCCCTTCCAAAAAAAAAAAAAAAGAATTACACATAAGGAATTCTATAAATAATAATAAAAAGATTTTTAAGAAAATTACCCGATGTTGAAGTAATGATCAGGATCTCTACTTGCTTGCTCCCTTGAAAGCTACCCACAAGAACAAATAGAATTAAAAATCAGAAACTTAAACAAATTAAAAGGAAGAATGGAAATTACAAAAGAAAAAAAATGCGTTAAGTGGAAAAAAGGTGGCACCTTTTCACCGCTAAGCGATCGAGCAACGATTTTAGCATGGTCCCAACGGGTGGTGGATTTAGTGAGTCTCTTGAGCAAGACGGTGCCACCAATCAGCACCAGCGTCTTCAGAACCAACCCCCGAGCTCGGCTCCATCCACCCGAGCTCGATTCGGAGTCCGTTCCCATATACTCGGGCGACCGCTGGTATCACAGCATACCCTCTTCACGGGCGAAATTATGGAGAGAAACAGAGCGGAATTTGGGTGTTGGGATTGAATGGATTTGGATTGAAGAGAGAGAAAATTGTGATGAAGATGAATGAATTGGATACAGAGGAGGTTCTGCCTTTTTCTCAATCCCGAATTGGAGGTTGCGGGGTGTCGGTATCGATGGTGTTTTCAGTCGTTGCCACGCGACTCCTTTGATTTTACAATTTTTCTTTTCCTTTATTTCAAATTCAAAAAAGTGTTTATTGACATTTAAACTCGACAGTGGCTTTTTCGTGAGAGGGAACTACTTCATATTTTCCTTTACATTAAAAAAAAAAAAAATATATATATATATATATATATATATATAAAGAAAGGAAGGTTCTCTTTTTCCCCTTTTCTCTCCCTTCTCTTTTGTTTCTGCCTCCCCTCGCGTAACGTTTGTTTTGAATGAAAGCCTTTGAGCTTCCGAGGTTTTGATGGTTGAGCCGTTGGACTCCCCGACCGCTTAAGCATGCTGGAGTCGGCTTGTGCTCCCTTCTTCGATGACCCTTCAGGGTCTGTCGGTTTATGGATCCCTTTTCGTTGACCTCTTTTGGTTTTTTATTTTCTGGTTGTTTGTTTTGTTTTATGTTCTTGTACAATTTGTTTTTTTCAAATCCGGCGACCGTCGCTCTTTCTTGTTGATCTTGGTAGGGGTTCGTTGGTTTTCTCTTTTTTTGTTCTGTTTGGTGCAGATTCGACGGCCTTCTTTCTCCTCCAGCGGATCTGAGGTGGCGCGCGCGAGAACTTCCAGATCTGACGCCCACCGCAGGTCTCTATTGGTTCTGAGGGACTTCTGTCGCCAGATCGGGTGACCGCCCGACATCTTGGAGCCTGGTGCTATTTCTTCAAGGGTGGATAGAAGAGTGTCCCGTATGGATCGGTCGATTGAAGGCCATGGCATCTCCGAGGTCGTTCGTGGTTGTTCAAGTGCTAAGTGCACCTCCCTTCAGCCTCTGGATATGGGTCTACTCTGATTTTTTGTTCCAGTTGTTTTTATTATTTGTTATCTTTGTAGATGTCGTATGACGGTATTTGTAATGAATCCATTCCATTATCCTCAAAAAATATATATATATATTGTGCACTTTGTATTGTTTTAAATTATATTTTTTTTTTTAGTTTAATGATTTTTATTTAACACATTTTGAATTGTAAAATATAAATTTTTTATAAAAAATATTAATGTAGGTTAAATTATAAAATTAATTTAATATAATTTAAATTATATTATATTACATTAAATTAACACTTAAATGAAAGTATATTCCTTGATGTTAAAGGTTATTTCCATCTAAAAGTCTCTTGTTTAATTATTGATCATAATTTTGTGTGGTTAGTGGAGTCTATACTACAAAATAGAAAAGTTATTTATATTTTACTTTGCATTTATTGATAAAGGTTTTTTTATGACACACTAAACTTTAAAAAAAATGTCAGCTCGGATGAGAAAAGGGAAAATATCATTAATAAATTTTTATTAAAGGTGTTTTTATCTTTTTAATTCGAAACTAGTAATATTTTTAGGTGTAGGATAGATTAAAAAAACACATTTTTGATATTTATTTCTATACATTTTTATCAATTATATTTGGAGAAATAAATTTCAGTCCTAATGGATTAAAATGTGTTAGTAGTA